CTTCTATAATAATATCATTAATTCCATCGTCTTCCAACTGTGTATTGTTGAAGAACCAGTCAACAGTTGATAAAGGAATGGAGAAAACTGTACAATTGAACACTCCATCATCAGTTTGATTGATAGTCTTGTTAACAGGAGGCTCTGTTATATTAGGTGGATCTGAAAAAAAATAGATTAGAGAGAGTAAAAAGAGGAGAGAGAGGGAAGTGATGTATGTGTTTAAAACAAAATAAAGAGGAACCAGTACTTACATAAAACAGTAAACTGCAGTTGAGGAGAAGTGACTGTTTGAACAGATTCCAATTCATTAGTAGCAGTGCAATGGTATCCATTGGTATCACTAAGCTCCAATTCATTTATCAGCAAACTACTACTGACATTGTACAATCCTCCTACTTCTTCCATTGTAAGCACATTGATACTCATCTTATTGCTATTCTGTTCTGCTACCATTGTATCATTAATGAACCAACTGATTGCAGGGGCTGGGTATCCTCTTGATATACAGGTAAGGACTGTATCAGAACCAGCTGTACCATTAGGGGGAACCGCCAAATCTACAATCACTGGAATAACTAAAAGAAAGAAATGAAGGAAGAATCACAACATAATAAGACGTATATCAATAATAATAATAATAATAATAATAATAATAATAATAATAATAATAATAATAATAAAATAATTAATAACTTATTTAGTAATTAATAATTTGCAAATTACAAAAATGCAAAACAATTGCAAGTTAAACAAGCATAAAAAAGAAATGCTAAAAATGATAATAATTCACGTAGAAGTAGAAATCAGAGTACATAGTTCTCAGAGTAAATTCCAAGAAAAACTACATGTACATGTACATGTACATGCATTGCTATGGAACAAGAATTTACGTGGGAGATTACCTTTGGCAGATTTGCCAAAATTTGTTTTTAATAACTGGCTGTACTCTTTAATTTATACATAATCAGTATTATTATTGTTAAATGGACAAGTATACCTATTCTTTTCCTCAACCTATTCCTAGTATTATTATTATTATGACAGTACTACGTACATGTACATGTACATGTACATACATATTACATCATATCCAATATACCCTAGCTCACATCAAAGGCAATACTGTAAATACTTTGGTTCAAGTTACTAGGAAAAAGTACAGGAAATGCATACAAAAGTATATACAACATAATAAAACTCTAATACAAGTATATAATTAGTATTATATATACAAAACTGCTTTGCTTGCTCATACATGTAGATCATGCAGCACATAATCTATAGCTTGCTTAGGCTCGCCCCTTTAATGTTCTACATTCGTCTAGTACAATTATATGTAGAAATAATGTATAAATAAATAATGTAGCTTGTCCACTAAAATACACCATCATTCGTTACCTTGCACTCCCAGTGTAGCTGATAATGGCAGAGTCTTGATGCTATTATTATAGACACAGGTGTATTCTCCTCTGTCTTCAAACCTCGTTCTTCTTATTCTTAAAGACCCGTAATCAATACCAGGGCCTCCGATACTATATTTGTCTCCGCCCCCCTCCTCTTCGCTGACAATCCTCTGGTCATTGTAATACCAGGCGTGGTCAGGGGTGGGGTCACCGATCGCTAGGCAACGGAAAAAAGCAGTCGAATTCTCGAGGACATTCAAGTCTTCCGGTACTTGGTAGACCTTTGGGGGACCTGAAAATGATAAAAGTAGGGAAAGGAAGTTTAGAGTGATTTGATTATTAATGCGAGGATAAACGTGGCTATGAGTAGCCAAAAAATTTTAATTGAAATAGCGAAGACGTGTGTTGGATGTTATACTTGGCATAAGTACATTAACTACCAAACAACAATGATTACACTGTAAGTATATTATATCAACATCAATATAAAGTACAATATCATAAACTATTGATATAGGACAAGGCTATATACACAAATGATAAATGAAGGACATACAATATCTATTGTACAAAGGAAGCAACTAATTCACAACATTCTGTAGCAGTAAACTATACCTCTCCTCTCTCTCACTCTCTCTTTCACCTCCCTCTGTATTTCCCATTCCCTTTCTATTCATCATATTTCTCTCCTCTATTTTCTTAATTTACTCACTTCCTCTCTTAATCTAATAAAAGTAGATGAAACCTTCTATCACTCTCTCTCTCTCTCTCTCTTTCCTTCCTCCTCTAATATAAGCTCTTTACCTTCGACCATCAACTGTATTGAAGCATTTTGTGTTCCAGCTTCATTGGTGGCATACACAGTGTAGTATCCTTCATCAGAAGACGTTAGTAAATGACTGATTGCCAGTGATCTTCTATTACTGCTTAGTTCGTAGCGGGAGTCACTCGATTCAGTTATATCCAGTAAACCAGCTGGACCTCTGAACGTCCAGCGAATGTTGGACGTGTTTACGAGTGGGTCATCTTGTGTGATGGAGAATGTGAGCACAATGGATTGGCCCTCAACACCAAATGAAGGAGATGGAGAAATAGGAGTGACATTAGCAGGAACTATGAGAAACGGAGGACAAAGAGAAATAGAGAGAGAGTCAATATATAAATATAGTACATGTTATATATACGTGTACCTTGTATTCTTAAAAATACAGCTTTAGTCTCAGGTGTGTCCAATACATTGCTAATATTGTTAACTGCCATACAAGTATACACTGACTCGTCAAACTTAACTGTACTAGTAAAATTCAATACAGAGACACGGACGTGAGTATAATCCGTCTCAGTAATAGTTATTCTGTTAGCCCCTCCCCCTACAACT